TCAAGAACAGTGTCATTCATCTAATGTTGAAAAAAAATATATATATCAAAACTCCAGCAGATAATAATACTGCAGGATTTGTTCGAAAAACAATATAACAATATAAGAATTTATTCAGACTGTTTTGTCATAATTAAAAATGTGAATCACATGATGCAAACAATTTAATAAAATCAACTTTAATCCATTAAATCAAACATAACATTCAGTTTGATATATTTTAGTTATGATCTTTGATTGATTTACTTTGAATCAGCAGAGTTGTGTAAAATAAGTACATCAGTATATCAGTCAAAGCTGTTGTGTTGTGTGTCAACAAACTACTCAATTTAATTCAACAAGCGCATTTTGCGTCAGGGTTTTTTCCCCGTCAGAACATTTGTGACCACAACTGGAAACAAAATGGTACAATGCAGTTGCAACTTCCAGTAAAAACAAAGATGATATGTCTGTTACCTATAAAAAATGTAACTGTAATACACAAAGGTGGGCAGACAACCAGGGCACTGCACTCATACCAAGCTCTGACTGAAAATAAAGGGTAATTATATCATAATTATTAACCCAAACATCATCGTAATCATCGTCATCATTAGGGTTTTTTACATTAGGGAACACGCCCCACAAGTTCAACAACTCATGTTTATGTTTCTGCTGCTGCACAACTCCTCCCTTCTATTGGCCCCTCGGATCAGTCTCTCAAACTGTGAACAGACTGTGCACTTTGTTCACGGGCCCTTAGCTTCTATCCCAGGAAGGAGGCCAGATTGCCACTTGCAGCTAAAGATATAAGCCGGGCACTCTATTTTATTGATTTTCTCTCAAACTGTCAATGTTTCACACCACAAGAACATCTACATCTGATAAGCTCATATATTTAAGAATATTCCATATAGAGAGGCATGGTTGTGCAACCTGTTTCAGTGGTTTTATGATGTTAAGTGAGACTCAGAATGAGATACCATTGCAAGGGTGAAGGTTAGGACATCTAATCACACACAGGCCTGAAACCAATGTGCCAAACTGACATACGTTTTTTAAAGTAGAGCATGAAGCCTCCTGCCCCACCACAGCTTTACCACGATGCATCAGCAAACTCAGGTCTGGCAGAAAACCTGTCTAGCCTATTTTAAGATGCAGCTGCAAAAATATAATTTGGCAATGAACAGTGACTTTAACATTTCAAAACGTCGAACAAAACCAAAGTCTGCATGTAAAAAAAAAAGATGTGTGTGAGAGTTTGCTTTGTATTCTACAATCTGAAGCACACTTCTAACACAAGAGTCTGTGTGTGTGTGTGTGTGTGTGTGTGTGTGTGTGTGTGTGTGTGTGTGCGTGCGTGTACACGACATCTTTGTGTGTTCAGCCCTCGCATGCCTCTGTGAAATACAGAGAGCTCGGAGAAGCTTATCAGGGGTGAGTAGGTGAGAAGAAAAAAAGTGAGTAGCAGTCTAAGGAGAGAGACGCAACAGCACGCCAGAGCAGATATGTACACGTGGCCTCCCAGCCTCTGTGTGTACAAACATACACACACAGAAACACACACAGACTGTCTGTCTTGCTGTCCACAGCTGGCACACACTGACACGAGACGAGTTTACATCAGCTTTTCAACTGTTTTTACAGTCAGCGTGGCTCAGGACGTCTTATGGCGCAGTTTTAAACTTCAACATGCATAACATACATGTCCTGTACAGCTGAATGTTTTCTGCATGTAAAAAACAATGCACTATATAATGATTCCGATTAGCAAAAAAAGAAAATAACTGAACATCTAACTAATAAACGTAGCATCATGCTTTTTGAAAGAAAGTTTCAAGGGCCCCATTTAACCCTGAGCTTGAAGAGTCATTTGTCTATTTAATTATCAGTTATATAACAGAAGGCTGGAGCCAAGCAATGTGATCGAGCCAAATTGTGTTCCATCTGTGCAGAAAATTCCCATAGTAGAGCTAAGTGGGCTCCATGATATACAGTACGGTACATGGAGTAGGCTGCTATGCTAACTCATGTTGGAAGCCAGTCATTCGATATTACAGTTGCGTCGGTGTGAAAATTTTAAAGCTGGATTGATATTAAGCCAAATGCTATAACAGACCACCAGATGTCCCAGTGGACTCAGCTGATGCCCCACCGAGGGGAACATAATGACACTGAGAGAGCCCGTGAAATAGGGTGTATCGACTCCAGTCCTCTTGAAAGCACTACTGCTCCTCTAAGCTTGTTTACAAACCACTATTTAACACTAAAATAGAAAGAAAAACCTGAGTGTAGTGGCAACAATCAGCATAACAACTGAGCGACCAAGGTGGGAGCGGTATCCCAGTCGACCAATACCGTGTGGATTTCTCCATGGGAAAAATTGCTAATGTACGGAGAATATAACCTGCGCAATGCACGTACGTCTCTCCTCCTGACACACTTCCTCCACACATACACACAAAGGAAACAGAGAAACATGGAGAAGCAGGGGAAAGAATCAAAATGGAATATTTTTGGTTTCATTGCATGAACATCTCAGATGGTTTCAACCCTGTGAGAGACACATGGTGGTTTTACTTCTCACAACAATTATTCAACTTTGTCAGCCTCAAACCAAAATGTTGCCATAATGACACAGATTTAGTTTTCTTTCAGGCTTCCACTTTGTGTTTGCCATGACTCCTCTCGTCATCACGCCAAAAGAAATGCCCAGATGAAATCTCTTGTAAACAGACACTACATGTGCCACCTCCCTTGACTTAAATTTGATCTTGCAAAAGGCTAAAGGTTAATCACGTTGTCATATTGCTTATTTGTGCCAACAGTATTGGTTGCTGGGGTAGGCTTCTTTTAAAATGTGCCAGGAAAGTGTCATAATGACAAATATCAGATCATACAGTTTAAATAAAATCTAATTATGTTCTTGCTCCAGTTGTAAATTTGTGCTTTGTATGTGTGATGGTGCATATTTTTCAATGTTGGTCATATAAAACACATCATAAGAAGATTTTAATTTAGAAATCATGAGTTGGGTAGAAGACAAATGATAAACTACTGATGAAAATGAGCATTAGTTGCAGCCTTACTTTCATAATAATGTGAAGATTTTATTCTGAAATCAATTTTCTACCTCTAACATGACTAAACACCTAATATGAAGCTTGAAACTTTCCTGATCATTTCAAAGAATAAGACAAACAAGAAAAAAGTAATTATTGCTAATCTATGTTTTCTGTTGCACAATATTTGCACATTTGTTGTGTTTCTTCTCGTTTTTGTAACGAATTGTTCACATGGTACATATGTCTGCGCTGGCCTCACAGAGCCTTAGGGCTGAGAGAAAAGAGAAAAACAACAGGACAACACACACACATGCAAGGAGAACTGACAGAAGTAGCTCAGGTACAGCGGCACTGAGGCAAACTCAGTTCTTTAAAACACCACTAATATTAGCAAATGATAAAATAATAAAACACAAGAAGAGCAAATATAATTTCATGACACATTTAGACTTTTTGAGTCAATGTTTATAGTAGAATTAAAGTCTTTAGTGTTTTATATGTCAATAAAATACCTCAAACAAACAGTTGCTTAAAATGAGATTATGGATTATACATATAAACCATCACTGAAGAGACTTTAAACACAGTTCAAACTGGTTAACAGCACAATGACCCAGGAGCATGTCAGTGTGACAGCAGGGAGATTGACGTTTACAAAGCAAGGCTCACTCATGATGTTTACGCCACATTTGTCAAACAACATCCTGGGATGTGCCCGTTCGAGCTGCGTTCACAAAGACTCTCGTAAAGCAGCAAGTTTATAACTCTCTTTGAATAGTGCACTCACAGCCAGTGCAGTTATCAGATAGCACTGCTAAGCTGAAGTGAAGCGCGCCCACCGGACACTTCTCATTCTCATCGCGCTGCACTCCCCTGACTTTCTCATGAGATTTGTTTCCCTCTCACTGAACATGACTGTACTGCATCCTCCGAAATGCACATACCCTGTTTTCACAATGAATCATTTCCTGTGAGATTGCACGATTACGTAACTGTGATATCTTTGTGACGAGAGCTTTCTTACAACACATTTCTGGAAAAACACAAGAACACGGAGCATGGAAAATTTCATAGTTGTATTAGAAAAACACAGATTTTCAATATCTGACTATTAAGAAACCAAAATATCACCAAAGCTGCAACCTTTATCCTTGAAACCTGGCAGCTCCAAAACTAACTCATCACCTCGTCTTGCATCTTTTTCCTCTGACAATAATCCCGTTAAAAAACAACAAGATTTTCCATTTGCCATGGCATTCCTAAAATATGATGTGATGTTAATGAATCGGAGCAACGATTGAGCCAATTGCAGGCGATAAGCACCAGATGCCCTCCACCCCAGGGATGCTAGCCCTCCATCCCAAAAAGAAAAATAACAATAACTGTCACAGAAGAACATACAAACCACCTGAGCTCCCTCCTTTCCAGCTGCTCAGCTAGAATCACACTGTCTGACTCACTGGCTTAAATACTTTAATCTCCCCAAATCCACACTCAAGGTGTCCTGTGGGGATGTGAGGTGTCCTGATACATCACTCTGAACCTGATCTGATTTCAGGAGGAGCGCAATACACAATACGTTTTTTTGCTGTTTTAGTTTAGAAGAAAAGAACTTGAAATGTCTCTAAATCATTCTGGTATTCACTTTCACACATTACAGATACAATTGTGTAATTTCTCAGAAAGGTTTAGCAGTTTTATAAGGTGATACTTAACCTTTTCATAGACTTTTTTCCCTGTTAAAATGTACCATATTGATGGTCTTGCCACACTGCTAATGATTTTTACTCTGACAGATATGTATCAGACTTTAAAGATGACCAGAACAGGTCACTGAGTCTGGAGGACATTTGATCAGGAAAAACCTGTTACAGCTCAGACTGGAATACAGTGGGAATTAGTTTCCTCTTTGCATGCAGTCACGAGAGCAGGATAAAGTTATTTTAAGCGACCTACCTGGAGAAGCTGACAGAGAAGGGTGACATGGCTGCGGAGGGGAGCCCATCGTTGCCCCTCTGTATCCCGGACGGCTCTCCAAACCTGCCCCCCCTCGTCCAGCTCTCCGCGACTGCAGGCAGATTCGAGAAAATGCCAAAAGGCTTCTGGTCTTGTAGGCCCACGGTGGAGGACGGGCTGGCTTTGTAGTGGTAGCCAGGTACTGCGCCGGCTCCCATGGTCGAGGACATCGGGCCTCCTCCGTGCAGAGAGCTCATGCTGCTCTGGAGACACTGCGACTGGCAGAAACTGCCATTCTCCTGCTTCTCCTGTTTGACAACGCCAGGTGTGCGGATGTGGATGAAAGAGTTGTCGTGATCTTTCTCCTCCTTGATCATGACGCTGGAGAGAAGCGATGGAGGCTGCTGATGTTGATGGTGTAACTGATGTTGCTGGTGCTGTAGCAGGTGGCGGTGCTGCTGCTGCTGGTGCTGATGATGCTGTAAGGGGTGCTGCTGGTCGGTGCCATTCACATCGGTACAGTTTCCTCCGTTGCCCACCAGGACCTTTGTTTCCTTAAGCAAACTGCCGTCAGGACCGCAACCGCCGCTGCTGTCATGTAGGATGTTATCCAAGTGTGCCACCTCTGAATCCAACTCAAAATCACTGATTTCTGGCAATGAATTAGGGAGGTCCAGGTCTTGCCAGATCTCGGTATCCTCAATAAGGTGACCGCTGTTGCCATCCAAATCACACGGGCCGCCGCCTGTATGTCCACCGTAAGTGCCCAGCTCCTTTTCCAGAGAAAAACCTCCCTCCTGCTTGATGTGCTGGGGGAAAAGGTTGGGCAAAGGCAGTTTGCCCAGGACGGAGGTGTCTGAAGTACTGATGACAGAGGTGGACGTCCGGTTGAGATCAGAAATATTCTGGTTCAGCAACGACAAATTGTCCTCCATGTTGAACATACCAATATCCAGGTGGTGTTTTCGTTTCTGCAATCTGATGATTTTACCCTCCTTCATTTCTGACCCTTCACACTGGCCACGAGGGGACTCAAAGAGACCTCCGAACTCCCCCTGGTCTTTGGTGCCAGCCCCTCCGTTTGGGGCCACCGTTAGCTGGGGCAGGGAACTGGGGCTGGGCAGGTGCATCGCAGCGGGTTGGAGCAGCGAACCAGCCGTGTCACCTGTGTCACTGCCTACTCCGACTGCTGTCTCCCCAAATGTCAGGCTGTCGTCTCGATTACAGTTGCGCTTCAGTCCACCCTGATCCATATCTTTATCCTGACAGGACATTGGGGGGGGGGTTAAGGGGACACAACACACACACAGTGAGAGAGAGATACGACATGGTTAGCCTATGAAAACAGGGTTGATGGATAGGATGACACATATGAGGTTATTTCAGAAGGAAAAGCTAAAAAAAGCTTATCAAAACATAGATCTTTGACAGGATTAGGTAAACATCTGTATGACATCTACTGCCTCTTCCACTATGTCTCTGCCCACGCTGTCCCTCACCTTATGTCCTTTCATTTTTCAAGAAATACATGTGATCTCCCCCTTTTCACACCCACACTGGAACAACTGGCACAAACCAGGCCGGGTGAGGTCGGTATAAAAAAAAGAAAAACAAGAGACGATTATAGCCATTACATAAGATGAACTACATTGTTCATGTTATTTCTTTGAACTGTGTCCTCAACTCAAAGAGTCAAGAGGCCCATGACAGTGCGACTGAACAGCGAGCACGTGTACATACATCTATTGAAAGAGATGAACCCACTCTGGGCCTCCAGCCACTTCACTTCACTCGATTTGCATGAAAGGGGGCCGATTGGAAATTCTGTCAAAATGCCATTTAACAACATTTGAAAACAAACTGAGTTCAAGAAGAAATTTAAAAAAATGCAAAGAATAAGCTTTTAGCATGTCAGGGTTCTGCAGCATTTATCTGTTGATCATTAACAGTGATAAGTGGCATATCTGGAGGGGCTCAAATTGACCAACAAAGCGAGCTGGGTTTTCAAAGTCAGTGCCACTGAATTAAAACTAATTTTGTGTTTTTGTAAAGATTTCTTTTAATTAATTTGCTCATAGCTTTTACCACTTTCCCCCGCCCACATATGTGCTGCATGTATGACTCTGCACTGTCATAGGCTGCGCTGCATTCAGATTATATATGATGCACTATCTTACCATAATAAGGTGGCTAGCATGAAACATTAAATCGGAATTTATCACTAAAGTTTAAAGTTTGGATATTGTACTTTTTATCGAGAACAACCCCCGCACACCATGACAGCTTTGGTGCAACCTGTTGGCGCCGAGGGGAAACTGAGCTGACCGTACGCCTACAGCCGCGGGCGCTGATAAACACACGCTCCGTGGAAGTTTGTGCAGCATTTGTCCTCTTTCTCTCTCGAACAGAAAGCGGCTCCTGTGCGCGCTGCCGGCGGATACTGGCTCGGTGTCACAGGGTGCACGGGGCTGGAGGTCCGAGCGCGGCAGAGCGCAGCGCACGGAGCCGCTCGTCGTTGGCCTACCTCGGCGCAACAACCAGCTTCCTCCCCCTCTGCCTCGGTATTTCTGCAGCAATGTAATAACTAATAACATGACAAGCTATAGGTCGTACCTGTGGTGAAAAGGGGGGAATGCACTCCCCACCGCTCAGGTCATCTCCCGTTTTAAGTCCGAGTTTGGAGGAACAAGAGTCGGAGAAATTACGCAGCGTCCGCCGTTCCAATCAAGCTCTCGGATGAAACCCCTTCCTCGCAGGAGCGTGGCGCAGTGAAATGTCAGCCGGGTCCGTCGCTGCCCCTCCGGACGTGGGGCAGGAAAACATCGTCCGCAGCCTGAACTGCTCCAAACTCGAGTCAACAAGAGCGTCGCTAACCCCGCAGGAGTTCAGCGATCCATCGTGTGCGCGCCCCAGCCTCGCTCGATCTGTGTCGGTAACTTTTAACACACGTCGCCGGTGCAGGGGAGAAAAATGAAGGAGGGCGGTGATCGATCACTTTCTGCGAGAGGAATTCAGGACTAATCCGCGATGGAGCGACGGATCTGAGGCGCAGTCCTCCGCTGTTGCGCCATTAAACCCCGTGAGTACATTAAAGTTATATAATTCAGCCGTACTGCCCTGGCGCACTCAACTGCAAACTCGAGCAGGGCAGGGCGCACAGTAAGGGAGGTGCGTCAAGCTCGGCACAACCAGGGGAGTGTTTCCAGTCTATCCTTTCACAACAAAAGCTTTATATATTTTTTTTTCCACAGCGTTACATATTGCATGACAATCAATAAATCATACTTACGCACTTTTCATATTAAAAGAAGTGCTTCACCTAAAAAGCATACAAATACCATGTCTCCATAGTTACTACTTGCTTAACCCTGATCCTCAAGCTAATCTCAGAATCAGAATCACTTTTATTGCCAGGTATGTGAACACACACGAGGAGTTTGACTCCGGTTTTACTTAACTCTCTTAGTGCAAACAGTTAAAAAAAAACATAGACAGAAACAAGAACAAAGACAAAAAACAAAAGCTATGTGCATGTACAACCTAACCTGGCTTATTTTGTCTCCATGAGGAAAACAAATCCCCATGGTGTGACTGAGAAAACAAATGTAGGTCCCCACAACATGAGTAATACCTGGACCACACACACACACACACACAACAAGGGTGTTAATGGGGGCACTGAGACAAAAATAAAAAACACTCAGCAAAAACAGGATGATTGATGACACATATGGAAACATGCACATACAGGAACAAGTAGTGGGTGAGCAATGGCTGTTTTCCAAAACAATATAATAAAATAAATAAAATGTCCTACTTGTGCTTTTATTTGGAAGCAGCTCAGCTCAGCTTCCTGCCCCCCTGCGTGCGCGTGAGGCAGCTTGACGCATCCGTGAGTTTGACACTTACTGGTGAACGCCCCTTTCCCCTCCACCGAAACTCTCCCTGCTGGGGAATCTGTCAAAACGGGTCTGTCTCTGCGCATGGTGGCACCGAGGAGACCGTTACAGGCCTAACTTACATGCTCCACCGCACCAAGCGTGCTTCATGTGAACACCACCAGAGTTCTGAGGTCCCCAAAGCTCAAGTTTCCTCCTGCGGGGCTCCTTTTAGAAAAGAGGAACCCAGTTATTCCAACCAGATCTGTCTGACACCATGGAATCAGGACTGGGCTATTAGGAGAAACTTTATTTCTGGGAACAAGCCCAAAAAGTGTATCACTGCGAATCCTCATCTGGCCCAGTCCACACCAGACAAGCTATTTAATGTGACCAAGAAATGTGAAATGCATTTTGTTTTGTCGCCTTTTAATGGAATTCACGCAGGTTTTCTCGCTGAGCAACTGACTCAGCTCACCTGCTCTCAGATAGATGAGAAGTGTTTAGGGAGTTGCTGGAGAAAAGAAGGTGCCATATATAATTTTAAAAAAAAGAAGACTGAAGTCAGTGCAGGGTAAACAAAACATGTCCTTTTATGCAAACCTCAGATACAAGCTGCAGCCTCCAAAGAAAACCACCTTCAGCAGTTTAACATCGAGAACATTAATCATTCCTCCGGCCGGCACTTTCTCCCCTCGCAACAAAGCAGGATTGAAACCTGTGCTGGTTTGAAAGTGAGGGGTCAAAGTTCAAGCTGGTAGCCAGGAGCACTCTGAGAACTTGAAGCCTGATTCCTAATCGTCTACATGTGAATCTGCCTTTACAGACGAGATCTCTGCTGTTTACACACATATTTGATTTATTCTGTCAAAATAGGAAATAACCTCTGCTCATATAACCTAGCGACATGAATAGAATTTAAACTATGCAAGCAATGTCTGCTTGAGGGCAGGAACAGTGAATCAAACTATATCAAAATTATATTTTCTTCTTCAAACAATTAGTCTCTTATTTATATCACAAGACATCTTACCATGTCACATGTTTAAAAAGAACACAGTGTGCCACAACAAAAGTAGGGTACTATACTCCTCAAAGTCATCATTGTCTGAATTGCGCATGTATCACATTTATTGAATTTGATCTATGAATTTATTTCTAAATGTATAAAATTGTAAATGTATTTTGTCTTGTGCATTCAGTCTTTTTCACTGACACAGACCCCTCTGAACTGTTAGGCCCTGCATGAGAAGATATGTTCTGCAAGCTCACATAAAGTAAAATAGACAATTATTTAACTTCCAAACTCGTGAATCCTTCATTTTTTGCTAATGACCCAGGGCTCATCCCTCCATTCGCTTGAGCTTCTTGTTTTCAGGTGCTAGACGGTGGCTAACACAGGGCAGACTGGTCATCATCAAGCTCACCCAGAGTTTATTTCACCAAGGTGTTAAAATTAACAAAAAATATGGCTACCTGTGCATTTGTAGGAGAACTGCTGCTTTTTAACATGCAGACCTGTATTCTTACATGGACAGGAGAGAAAAAGTCAGGACTTTCTTAATGAAATCGTCTCCTGCTGCACATTGGCAGCGCTAATGGTAAATATAACGAATAGCTTCATTCGTTACTTTATCAAACAAAGTAAAGGGACCAACACACCAATCACAGCTGGAAAAAGGTGAGAAAAAAAAATTCTAAGGCCCATTTTGAAAGAAAATGCAAAAAATAAAATTGTAAAATGAAGATTGTTGTCTTTGGGAAATGCAATAGCAGAAACATGCCACTTCTATAAATGTATTTAAAAGGATTTCTTGAGACTATAATGCCAGTATGTCCATCAGTCACTTCCACTAGACAAGGTCATTAGTTAGAAATTCATTTTCCTGATGACACTTTAGTGGAGCAGAACAAGGACCAATTTGAGATATGAGTCAAGCAGAGTCAGATCAGGATGAAGAGGGAGACAGAGGTAGGGGAGGAAGGAGAAATGGACAGTGCAGGCCGTGCAGACAGACGCCCATTCTGTTCGATCAGCAAGAAGAAGAAGACGGACAGAAAAGGGGCGGGAAAAAAGGCGGTGGGGGGAGGCAGGTGTGGCCCTCCATGCAAGTCTTTTGATTAGATGGAGCATGGTGTGTCCTGTGCATGTGGATGTCTCATTAAAGGCTAGTGTGGCTGGAGAGAGGCAGGAGCTCCCCAGGGCCTGAGAAAACCACACTGTTCTCAAAACATCACAGGGAACACTGTGAGTTTTTAATGCTGCCGGGTAACAATGGGTGATCCTATTTACTGATCAATAATAACACACTGGACATGTGATGCTCTGCGTGCATGTATGTGCAATTGGGAATTCGTGGAAAAATATGTTATGTGGTTGTGTGCTCTATGCATTGTAGGTTACACTAGTTTCAGTGCTGCAGAGAGTGAATGTTTATTGAATAACACTTCGATGCACTGGTACCTGATAGAGGCCAAGGTTTGGGTTTTAAAAAAAAATCTCATGCAGAATTTTGGCAAATAAATCTGCCAGGTTAGAGATCTCTTGGAGTAAGAAGGAAATATGTTGTTTGGTGGTTCCATGAGTGCTGATCTGTTAACTGAACATCTTTGTGGTTATATTTTATTTTCAATTTCATGCATGGTTTGGAGATTTTATGCCTTTATTAGAGAGTTGAAAATGAGGCTGGGACGTTAAAACGAGGATGCTGCAGTTTGTCATTGACGCCAATTACAGCCTGTCCACCTTGTTCTCAGTATAATCGAAATGAACGTGTTTCCAAACCCTCTGATTAACTGGTGTTAATGACAGTGAAGATAAATTGAGTGACATGGTGCAGACAAGCCTATCTTGTTAGAGGCTGGAGTCAGATTTGTTTTTACTTCTCTCTCTGCCAAGATGTCTCACCTTGTTTGCTGATCGCTCACAAAAATCTGTCCGATGAATAAAGCTACCGGTGAACTCGCAATGTAACGAGAACCTGACAGCAAAAAACATACTTTTACATTTGCAGATGTTATTGATGTGTATCAAGAAATTTAGCTGCAAGGAATTGTGTATCCAATGCCAAAGGAGATAAGAAATTAAACATCAGAGCACATTTCCTTAGCATTTTGAGAATTTGACGAGATCATGGCTGCCACTTGAATGTTTCCTGGTCATTTCATGCAGTCAGGAAACCTTTGATCACCACTAAGTCATTAGTGTTATTTCCCTTGTCATTGGACCAGAACAAAGAAAATGTTTCAGAGGTCAAGGGGGGAGAGGAAAATGCACAGATCTGTTCAATGCAAGAAGAGCAACAAGGATGGACAGACGACGCAAAGGAAAAGCCATAAGAAGAAGGCGGGGAAGGAAAAGGGGCGGAAGGGGAGGGACAGGTGCCGCCCACTGTGCAAGTCATTCGATTAGATGGAGCATGGTGTGTCCTGTGCATGTGGATGTCTCATTAAACGCTAGTGTGGCTGGAGAGAGGCAGGAGCTCCCCAGGGCCTGAGAAAACCACACTGTTCTCAAAACATCACAGGGAACACTGTGAGTTTTTAATGCTGCTGGGTAACAATGGGTGATCCTATTTACTGATCAATAATAACACACTGGACATGTGATGCTCTGCGTGCATGTATGTGCAATTGGGAGTTCATTTGAAGACATGTAACTTGGTGGTGTGATACGAGCCGCTCTGAATGTGAAGTAAGTTACTAAACAACCACTTGTGGATATCCATTAAAAAAAGTTTGTGTTTCAAATGTTCTTGATCATTAGAAAAAACAACTCGACAGATGTTGATGTGGCTGTTGCTCTTGTTATGGTTGTAATCATGAAGAAAGCCTGTCGGGCTTCGGTTGAATGACCCATGATGTCATCTTCAGTGTCTGTATTTGTTTGGCTCCGTGACTGAGTTTGATTTCTCGCTCAGCATCATCTTTCCTTTCTTTAGAAATAAACACTTTGTTGTTGATTTGCTTGCTCTTTACCGCATTTGATTTGACCCTTTAGCTGGTAATCATGAGTCACTTAGTGAGCTCGGAGAGAACGGCACGGCTGGTTTGGGCTTTTAGTCTTTGTCTTGTAGCAATTGATCCTCAGTGTTTGTAATGTATTTTCTGGAGCACATTTCAATGGGAGGAATTAATTGCAAAAGACAAGGCAGCTCCTCGAAGCTTCATATTGGGTTAGGCACATTGTGTGGAGTGCTCTCTGAGAACAGGTTCTGTTTTTGAATTGAACCACTGCTCTGAAAAATGTAAGAGCACGAACCTGCAAACATC